CAAGGATCCTCCTGCCTCAGCTTCCTGAGTGCCAGGATTACAGGCATGAGCCACCACACCCAGCTAGAAAAGCAAAATCTTATACTTCCTCTAGACCTACTGAATCAGAATCTGCCATTTTTTTACACTGAAATAAAATGATACAAGATCCTGAATCAGATATTCTGATCTAAAACTTTTTTGTGCCCATCAAAAAATGGTTTTTTTGACGTCAAAAACATACTATGTGCTGGGCCTTTTCTAAATACTGAACTGGTCAGTTATTCACTTCACAGCTGTATCTCCATTTGGTTTCGTCTGATATTTTTCTCACAGATTCAGGTTCTGCATTGCTAGAATTCCACAGAATTGATCCTGTTCCCTTTTTGGTGCATGACACATGGTATATCTTGTGTCTTTATTTTTAGTTCTTTGTACGATGGAGCTTCAGTGTTGCTCAGACTCCCCCAGGCTCCTCTGCTCAAATGGTCCTCCTGCCTCAGTCTCCTGTGTGGGACTATAGGCCTGTGCTACCACACCTGGTTTGTTCTTATTACTCATCATATTAATCTTGGTCACTCTGCTAGGGTGGATTCCTCACTGTAAAATAACTGTTTTCCCTTTGTAATTAGTAGATATCCTAGATAATTTGAAATGAAGAAAGTACCTTATTTCTCACAAAACATTTACCCACTAATATTAGCAACGACGATAAGACACCATTTGTAACAATAATTTTGTGATTTTTTTTTTGCCTGAATGACCTATTTCTTCCCTCCTTTATTTTAAATATATTAGTTGAATTTTTCTGGAAAGAAAAATTGTCCCTTTTCTCTGTGTCATTTATTGACATATTTATGTTAGTGCAAGGTAGTGGATATCTATTTTATTTTGTTCTTATAATCCAGTGCTACGATTTTCGCTTCTTCACATTGTTTTAGCTTTAGAGCTCCTTCCAGTTGACTGCTGTGCTTTTCGGACACACCCATCCTTTCACAAACATTTGCTTACTTTCTTTCACAAGATTTTCCTGGATTGTCCTGAATTTTATTTGCTCCTGTCAAATCTTTATCCTAACTTCATTTCACTTTATTACATCTCTGGCTAGAAAGCAAATACATTGTTAACTATATATAAGAACAGATGTCTTCAGCTTATTCTTATTTTAGTGTTGGGGCTGGGGATTTAGCTCAGCGGTACAGCGCCTGCCTGGCAAGCGCGAGGTCGTGAGTTTGATTCCCGGTACTGGGAAAAAAACCAAAAAACACACACCTATTTTAGTGTATGTGCTGCCAAAGGGAGCACCTTTAATTCATTCCTATTTTACGGGCAAAATGTTCAGCATTGCTGGGCGTTGTGGTACATGCCTGTTATCAAGCACTCAGCAGGCCGAGGCAGGAAGATTGCCATGAGTTTGAGGCCAGCCTGGACCACACAGTGAGACCTTGTCTCAGAAACATTGGTGTTTCACGTGCAAGGTGAGCTGTAAGTTTCACAGAACCCTTTCCTTAGGTTGATGGAGTTTTCTTCTATTCCTGGCGTGCAAGATTTTATCCTGAATGGATGCTGAATTTATCAAGTGATTCTTCAGCATCTGTTAAGATAGATAGTCCTACACTTTTTTTGTTTATTGTTAATTTTGTGAATTTGATTTTTTTTTAAATTTCTTATTTGACTGTTTAAAAAGAAAATTTAGCCTGTAATCCCAGCACTTGGGAGGCTGAGGAAGGGGTATTGCTGTGAGTTTGAGGCCAGCTTGGGCTACAAAGCGAGTTCAAAGCCAGCCTGAACTGCATGGCAAAACTCTGTCTCAAGAAAGAAAAAAAAAGGAAAAAGAAAAAGAAAATGTACAGGGTTGGGTGTGATGGTACACACTTATAATCCCAGGCACTCAGGCAGTTGAGGCAAGAGGATGATAAATTTGAGGCCAATTTGGTCAATTTAGTGAGGCTCTGTCTCAAAAAATTAGAAGGGTTGGGGTGGTAGCTCAGTGGTAGAGTGGTTGCCTAGCATGTGGGAGGCCCTGGGTTCAGTCTTAAATACTGTACTTCAAGAAAAGAAAAAATAACTCATATTCCCCAAATTTTTTCTACTTGATCATGATCATGTGTTATATTACTGAATTTGTTTTGCTAAAACTATTTGCATATTTTTTGTGTCTGTGTTCATGAAGTCTGTAGTTTTCTTGTCTTAGAGTACCTTTAGATTTGGTACTTGACTAATACTTGGTAATACTCTTGGTGTTACTTCTTTAATACGGACTTTTTAGAAGTGTACTTTATTTCCAAGTGTTTGGAAATTTTCAAAATATCTTTTTGTTAATGATTTTGAATGTAGTTTTGTTTTGTTTTGTTTTTTTCTGGTACCGGGAATCGAACTCACAACCTTGCGTTTGCCAGGCAGGCACTGTGCCGCTGAGCTAAATCCCCAGCCCTTTGATTTTAGTTTTGTTGTTTCACCGAACATATTGTTGGTAATTTCAAGGAGTTTTGGGGGTGGGGTTTTGGTGGGGTTTTGGTGGGGTTTTTGTGTTTTGTTTTGGGTTTTTTTGGCTTGTTTTTGTTTCTTCTGATGGTGAGGATTGAACCCAGGTCCTAGAACATAATGTGCAAGCACTCTACCTCTAAGCTACAGCCGTATTTCAGGGTTTGTTTGTTTTTTTTTTTAAGGTAGTCTTATTTTATGAGCCGGCATATGTTCTTTCTTAGTGACGAATTTATATCTGCTTTTTTTTTTTTTTTTTTTTTTTGAAGAAAAAAGTTTTATTTAGCTCCCAGTTCGTGGAGGTTTAGTCAGGGTGGCTTGGCACAGGGGCTTCACAGAGGATAAGCAGTTCATGGTGGCAGAAAACAGTGAAAAGAATGAAAGAGGAGGAGAGAGAGAAAATCTGTATCTGCCTTAAAAGATGCGTGTTCTGCTCTTGTTGACCGTAGCCTTCTAGAAGATGTCCAGATACATTGTGTTACTCAAGTCTCCTCTACCTGTGTCCTCACTGATTTTCTGTCAGTTAATAACGTGGGAGTACTGACATCCCCAGCTCTATGTGTGACTTTGTCTATTTAGTCTTCCTGTTTTCTCATTTTTACTTCATACATTTTGATGCAGTGTGATTAGGTACGGATACATTTAGGACGGTTGTGACTTTCTGATGAATTCGTTTTGTCATTATGAAGTCTCTCTACCCCGGTACTGTTCCTTGTCCTGAAGTCTGCTTTGTCTGATATTCATCATGCTTTGCTTGTTGTATCTTTTTTTTAATTGCAGTGTTTTGAAGGTATAACTTGTATACCATGTGATAATTCAGCTGCTTAAGGGGTATAATTCATCTCTTTGGGTTTTGCTTTTGTTGTGCTGTAGCACTGGAGATTGAACCCAGGGCCTCGTGCGTGCGAGGCAAGCGCTCATCACAGAGCTGCACAGCCCGTCCTCCGTGTGTTGGACATATGCAACAAGTCGTTCGCCTGTTACCGCAGTCAATCTTATAATACTTTCATCGCTGCCCCAGGAAACTCAGACTTTAGCCGCTACTCCTTGTTTCTGTGCTTTGAGCCGTCTTTCAGGATGGCTTCTTGGGGTGTTTTCCTGTTTTATTCTTTTCATTTATCTTTTTTGTATCATGTGGCAGTTAAATATAAATTCTCTATTTTGCTCATGATATAGAATTGTGTACTCATTTCATAAGTTAACCCCAGATTAATTTACTTAAATGAATTACACCTAATACTAAATACCTCCAGGATCTCCGTTTTAGATCACTATCCCTACGTCTGCTGTCAAGACGGTTCGGAGTCATCATGAATCACTGCAGCAGTCTTGGCATTGATTTTAACGATACCAGTCATAGACACGTTTGTAACTGGTAATTGTTACCACTGCCGTAAGACCTGACAGTTTGCATGACTTTAGTTTCAGGGATCATCCTGTGTCGCACTGAATTACCCCTTCGCAGCCATGAAAAGCCTGCTGCTACCTCATTGCCACAGCAAATCGTGCTATTCTCAAGTTTCTCGTTTTCTTCTGTATGTTCACATACAGAAAATAGTTAACATAGCAGACCTGGGACTGATGTCCTTAAAAAGACCTGCTGCTGTTGAAGGATTCTGAATATTCTCTGATAGCAACAGCTCACTTAATCTTCCATAGAGCATGGGATTGGGAAAGATGTTCAAGTCAAAATCTCAAGGGTCAGAAAACTTTGGAAGAGAGTTTCAACCATCCTGAGGTGCCTTTCTTAAAAAGACTCACCTGCAGGGCTAGCGCTTGTCCGGCATTGAAACTTGCCATTCCCTAACTGGTAAGGTTGCTCACTACGCCTGAGTTTGGGGGGCAACAGTGTGGGTTATGCTAAAGGCCTGATTTCCTCCTGGGAGCCTGGAGTTTTATGTCCTGGGTAGATAGTGCCTAAGTGACTAATAAGCACCCTGGGAACAGTCTTTAATAAGCTTCCTCGGTAGACAGCATTTCACATATGCTGTCACACTCCATGTCTGACAGCTTGCATTTGGTTTCCCCATACTGGCACCTGTGTGACCATCTCTCTGCTGATTTTGCTTGACACCCTCCTACTACATTAAGCCTTAGTCATGAGTTAAACTATACGCTGACGCCTGTGAGTCCAGCCGGAAAATACCATACCTGCCATAGAACGTGAAGACCTATGAAACAGATATTATAACTGAGATCATTTTGTATATATTTTAAATGAATTTTTAATGAAATTTTTATTATGTTTATGGTTTTTATAGAAAATAGCTGGGCTTGGTGGCACACGCCTGTAATGCCAGCACTCAGGAGGCTGAGGCAGGAGTATCGTTGTGGGTTCGAGACACGCCTGGGCTACAAAGTGAGCTCAAGGCCAGTCTGAACTGCATAGTGAAGCCCTGTCCTGTCTCAAAAGACCAAAAAAGAAAAAGAAAAAAAGAAAAGAAAGTAAACATGAAATTAAATTTGCCTTTCTTGAACTTTAGAGACATAACTGAAGTTCGTGAAGTCACCAGAAGATCAGTTCCTCGTAATTCCTTAGAAAGTGCTGAGTACATTAAAGTCCTAACAGGCTTATTAAACGCAAAAGATTTTCGTGATCGTATTAGTGGGATTAAGCAACTTTTATCAGATGCTGAAAATAATCAAGAACTTGTTGTTGGAAACATTGTGAAGGTAAGAACCTGTCAAAAATAATTTTCAGGTCCTGGGCTCATGGTACACAGTTGTTTAGCATTCATATTATTATTTTTTGAGTTTACGAAAGTTAAGGATTCTCAAGAGTAAGGAGTAATTATTAACATGGTCAGATTAAGAAATAATAATAAAAATTTTACTCTGAGGGGCTAAAGATGTAGCTCAATGGTAGGCCATTTTCCTGGCATGTATGAGACCCTGGGACCAGCCATTAGCACTGCCAAAAAAAAGTGAATTGCATCTAAAAATCTCTTTACAAATCCAAACTGAAACTAGGTTAAACCTCTACAGTAAAACTTACATGTATAAGATTGTTATGAATAGAGATAGAAATTTAAGTTCTTTTCTTTCTTTTTTTTCCTCTTTTTTTTTTTTTGGCTTTTTGAGACAGGGTCTCGCTATGCAGTTCAGGCTGGCCTTCAGCTCACTTTGTAGCCCAGGCTGGCCTGGAACTCACAATGATCCTCCAGCCTCAGCCTCCTGAGTGCTGGGATTATAGGCACCACCACAACTGGCAGAAATTTAAATTCTTAGAGTTGACTAAGAAAACCAGCACCAGGCTAGGGATATGGCTCAGTGGCATAGCACCTGCCTGGCAAACACGAGGTCCTGAGTTCAATTGCTGGTACCAAAGAAAGGAAAACCTGCACCTTCCAGGAAATAGCTTGTATATTAAATTCACAGTATCGTTCATTTACCCACTGAGCCACATTTGTAATTTTAATTTATTAGGGTGTCTTTTGGGGTGATTTCTCTTTTTGGTTTTTTTTGGTACCAGGAATTGAACTCAGGATCTTGTGCTTGTCAGGCAGGCACTTGTGCCACTGAGCTAAATCCCCAGCCCTGCAGTGATTTCTTAAAGCTCTGTCTTCTGGCTATAAGATTGTTCAGCACTTGAATTTAGCATCCAAATTTTTATAAAGTTCCACATGTCTAAGTTCAGGTTGAATAGGCTACTTGGGGGAGGAGGGGTGTATGTGTAAACAGAGTAAAATAGGAGAAATACCTCGAAATGCCAAGAAATTTTAAATATAATAGCTTTAAACATTATTTTACTTTATATACATTACCAATTTATTTCCAGATCTTTGATGCTTTTAAATCTCGACTTCATGATTCCAACAGTAAAGTAAATCTGGTGGCTCTAGAATCAATGCACAAAATGATTCCTTTACTTAAAGACAACTTGTCTCCTATAATCAACATGCTAATTCCAGCAATAGTGGATAACAATCTGAATTCTAAGAACCCAGGCATCTACGCTGCAGCTACCAGTGTTGTCCAGGCGCTGAGTCAGCATGTAGGTAAGAAAGCCTACTTCTGCATTCCAGTCATTTTGACTTTATTTTTGTACTTTCTGATCCCACATATGTTTTCTAATGCTAAAATCCTAGTAACTTAATTTTTTCATTTAATAGTGTCTTCTTTTTATTTATGAATGTGAAACTGACACATCTCTTTGTGCTTTTTTTGAACTGTGATGAAATACCTGAGGCTGCGTAACTTATAAAGAAAAGGAGTTGCACTGGGGTGTCACGATGATAGAGCACTCGCCTAGTATGCTCGAGGCCCTAGATCCAGCCCCAAGGCATCCTTCCATGCCCAGAAAGTGTTCACTTAGCTGACAGCTATAGGGGCAGTGGTCCAGATAGTGTGGCGCTAACTCTGGAGCGTGTTCCTCTGGGTGTGCACACGGCACATGGCAGGACTGCGTGAGAAAGAGAAATCCTCTGGTGAGACAGACAGCCAGAGAGACCCAGGAGGCCAGTATTGCCTCCCACTAGGCCCCACCTCTTCAAGGTCCCACCACCTCTTTTTTTTTTTTTTTTTTGGTTTTTTGGTTTTTCTCCGGTACCGGGAACCGAACTCACGACCTTGCACTTGCCAGGCAGGCGCTTTGCCGCTGAGCTAAATCCCCAGCCTCGTCCCACCACCTCTTAACATCACCCTGGGGATTAATTTGGGACACTTGAATCCCTGGGGGATGCAGTTGGACCATATCCATGTCACAGCAACCCCATACCATGCAATACTACATAGCAATAAAAAAGAGCAAACTGTGGATACATGGAAATCATTGCATGAATCTGAGAGCCATTGTATCAGTAAAAAAAAGATAACCTGAAAATGGGGTATCCTGTAGGATTCCATTTTTACAACATCCTAAAAAATAACAGAATTACCAAGATAGTCAACAGATTATTGGTTGTCAGAGTTTCAGGGCAGGGGGGAAGGTAAGGGTGAGTATGTTTATAATTTGGACTTAAACATCCCGTAAAGGCTTGTGTGCTGAAGGTTTAACCTCCAGCCCGGGGCACTGTTGGGAGGGGTCTGGCAGAAGGAGCTTAGGTCATTGGACGTGTCTTTGGGGACACTCCCAGCACCCTGTCCCCTCCCATCTCTCGGCCTCCTGACTGTGCTGAGGTGAGCAGTTTCCTGTATTGCGCACTCCCTCCACGACGTCCTATGCTGCCACAGGCCCAGAGCGACAGGACCAAGCAGCCATGGGCTGGCAGCTATAAACCTTTCCTTCGAGTTGATTCCCTGAGCTGTTTTGTCACAGTGAAAGAGTGCTGACCAGCGCAGATACATTCTGAAGAGGTGGTGCTAAGGAAGTCTTTGTGGTGATGCAGTAGTGCTGTCTTCATTGCAGTGATGGTTGCACAGAGCTATGTGTGCGATAAAATGAGATAGAATAGTACATCCATATCCTTCATTTTGATATTGTACTGTAGTTTTGTAAGACATAGCCTTTGGGTGAAAGTTACATAGGACCTCTCTGCTATCTCTACAGCTTCCTGTGAATATATAATTACGTATTTCAGAGCCTGGCATGGTGGCACATACCTGTAATCCCAGCACTTGGGAGGCTGAGGCAAATGGATCGTCATGAGTTCAAGGCCAGCCTAGGCTACATAGTGAGCTCAAGGCCAGCCTGAACTACATAGCGAGACGCTGTCTCCAAAAAAGTAATAATTTATTTCAAAATGAAAAGTTTAAAAAAAAAGCCAGACATGGTGGTGCACGCCTGTAATCCCAGCACTCGGGAGGCAGAGGCAGGATTGTTATGAGTTTGAGACCAGTTTGAACTGCACAGTGAAAATCTGTCTCAAAAAAGACCCCCCCCAAAAAAAAACCCTTTCCTTGAAGCAGTTCTTTTTGTTTTTTAATAAATTTGTGGTTTCCTGTGGAATAATATGCCTATCCAAGATAAGCTAGTCCTTTTTCAGATCACATGATAGCTCCTTGAATGCTACATGAGGTATTTATTTTTGTTTTGTTTTTGTTTTTGTTTTTGTTTTTGTTTTTTGAGGCAAGGTCTCGCTCTGCAGTTTAGGCTGGCCTTGAGCTCACTTTGTAGCCCAGGCTGGTCTCAAACTCATAACTATCCTCCTGCCTCAGCCTCCCGAGTGCTGGGGTTACAGGCATGCGCCACCACGCCCAGCTACATGAGGTATTTATTTCATTCATATCCTTTCTTTTGATATTGTACTTTAGTTGTGTAAAACATAATCTTATTTGCTGTAAGAATATTACTCTTAAGTTTGTAGAAAATTGTAAATAGTGATTAACTGTAGATTTTTAAAAGTTAACACTTTTGCACTCTAGAAATGACTTATTTTTTCATTTCAATGCTATGTAATAGAAAATAAAATCTCATTACTTTTAAACATGTATCTGTTTTTGTTTAGACAATTACTTGCTTCTACAACCATTTTGCACCAAAGCTCAATTTTTAAATGGAAAAGCAAAACAAGATATGACGGAAAAGCTTGCTGGTAAAGACTTTTAAATTATAATTTCTAAAGAAGTATTAAGTAAGGGTAAACTATGGGTATGTTAATTTAATTTTGGGAGAGCTCTCAGTTCAATATAATTACCTATGAAGCAGATATAGATTACATAATGATACCCAGGAGGACTTCTTCAGACATTTATACCAAGCCAGGCATGGTTGTGCATGTTTGTAATCCCAGCATCTGGGAGGCTGAAGCAGGAAGATCACACATTCCAGTCTAGCCTGGGCAACTTAGCAAGGCCTTGTCTCAAAACAAAAATAAAGTAAAAAGGGTGCCTGTAATCCCAGCACTTAGGAGGCTGAGGCAGGAGGATCATTGCAAGTTCGAGACCAGCCTGGGCTACAAAGTGAGCTCAAGGCCAGCCTAAGCTGCATATCGAGACTCTGTCTCAAAAAGACAAAAAATAATAATAATAATAATAATAATAAAAAGGGCTGCAGATGTACCTGTGTGTAAAGGTCCTGGAAAGAAGGAAAAAAGACTTTGACTCCAATTATGCTCCTCAGAGTAATTTGGGGTAGGGGGTATATACCTCAGTAGCAGAGCTTGCCTAGCATACACGGCCATGGCTTTGATACTCATCACTGAAAAAAAAAGAAAGAAAAGCTCTCCAGTGTTTAATGTACCTGTGAGGAAAAATAATATATGAGGACATGAAAATCAAATATTGATGGTCAGCCAGCCGTGGTGGTGCATGCCTGTAATCCCAGCATTCAGGAGGCTGAGGCGGGAGGATCATTGGGAGTTTGAGACCAGCCTGGGCTACGAAGTGAGCAAGGCAGGCCTGAACTGCATAGCAAGACCCTGTCTCAAAAAGACAAAAAAAAAAAAAACCAAATACTGATGGTCACAGGAAAATTTTTGAATTTTTGTTTGATAACTACATTTGGAAAACGCTCAGATTAATTTTGCATTAAATTTCCCTCTTTACCCCGTTTGCCTGAACTGATTACCATATATAGAATTCTAATGCTTGATAGCTCTGTCTTTGAGATGAAGTTTCTTTTAAGAAGAGCCTAACTTTTTAGAATAACTGCCAAAGGGAAGAAGCTTGACCATTTTAGATGCTTTTAAATTATCAGGCCTTGGATTTATTTTTTTCCAAACCCTCACTATTTACTATGTGTTTTGTTTCAGATATTGTTACGGAACTTTATCAAAGGAAGCCTCATGCTACGGAACAGAAGGTGTTGGTTGTTTTGTGGCACCTCTTGGGGAACATGACAAATAGCGGCTCCCTGCCTGGAGCTGGAGGAAACATACGAACAGCCACAGCTAAACTATCGAAAGCACTTTTTGCACAGATGGGTCAGAATCTGTTAAATCAGGCTGCGTCTCAACCACCGCATATCAAAAAGAGCTTAGAGGAACTGCTCGATATGACCATTTTAAATGAATTATGAATCTGCTATGAAATATGGGGTGATGAACAAGACAGTTTACACGACGACGAATGAGTTTTTCAAGCTGCGTTCCGAGTGCCTGCGCTTCGCATCTAGGACACTAAGTCAGTAGCTGTGTGGTTTGCGGCCTCTGTGAGCCCCACCACTGCACCCTCGCGCGGAGACCTGAGGAGTACCCACCGCTCGTGAAACCCGAAGCACAGCGGCTGAATGCTACTTGCGAATTTTTTGAGAAAAGTCCTGCTCATTTTCACTCTTCCATAGAAACCGCAGCTTGTTGTCCTTTATGTACAATTAGATTTGTAATTAAAAATATAATTTTTATTATGTAATCATGTTCTGCTATGTCTCATTACTCAGCCTTGTTTTGTGAAGTGGAAGAAAAGTCCCTGAACTATGTTATCACAAACTCAGTTTTGTGTGCTGTTTGTGAAAAAACATGTATTTCTGAATCAGTCTGCTCGTACGATTCTGCAGTATTAGCTCGCTATTGCTGCTGTGTGTGTGATGTATTTGCTTACCTTTTGGGTTGAATTGTCTGCATCATTGTGAAGTTTAACGAGATAATAAAGCATGATGACCAAAGTTTTTAGAAAACAGTAAACTCTGAAATGCACGTTTAAGAAAACGTGTTGAATGTAACCTCCCTATTCTTGTGTGCAAACACTAAATTTTATTTCTGTACGTCCTAACATTTATAAAGGTGTTATTTTGCTGCCCAGTTCTGTAATTCTCAAAAATAGTGCCAGGTCTTCTATAGTTTTTCTCAGAATTCTTGGGCTTACAAGTACTGTATGCATCTCAAAAAAAAAAAAAAAAAGAAAAGGAATGTTATAAAATAAAAGGATTTATTTCTGTAGCTGTGTGACAGGTGTCCTATTTTTCCAATTTCCATACATGTTAAAGCGGAAGAAATACAGTATTGACCTGTGGCTTTCATTTGACTCAATGGATTTAATCCTGACCTGTCACTGTAAACAGCAGGCCTGGCTTCTCATTCCAGCTTTCCAGGAAATGAGCTCTGTAGCCTTGGGCAAGTCATTTTCCCTTCTCGAGTTGCTGACCTACTTTATATTGTAACCTCTGGCTCATTCTGGGGGGACTGGGATAGTACCAGGGAAAGAACTCAGGGCTTTGTAGATGCTAAGCATGTACTCTACCATTAGGCTGCACTACCCCCTATTTCGCTGCTTTTAGACTTTGGTTTTATTTTGGTCTTTTTGAGACAGGGTCTTGCTATGCAGTTCATGCTGGCCTTCGGCTCCCTTTGTAATCCAGGCTGGCCTCAAACTTGAAATGATCCTCCTACCTCAGCCTCCCAAGTGCTAGGATTACAGGCTTGCTTTTAGAATTTTAATTTTTTTTTTTAAATCCACAATTTCTGAGGAAAAAAATAGGGTTTGCTGCTACATATTAGAAGCTAAGCTGAAAGGAAACACCTTTCTACCTTTTCTGTTTCTATGCACTATTTTATAGTTACCTACAGACTTTTAAAATGCCTTGTATGCCAGATGTGGTGGCGCATGCCTGTAATCCCAGCACTTGGGAGGCTGAGGCAGTAGGATCGCTATGAGTTTGAGGCCTGCCTGAATTAGAGAAAGACCCTGTCTCAAAACAATTTTTAAAAAACTAACTAAATAAATAAAAATACCTTATATTTAAGTGTACTTTGTCCTGTAGTTTAATACTATAACCCTATAGTTTAGGTCTCCGAGTTGGCTGACTTTTCTGTGTACAGCCAGAAACTAACTATTTTCAGCTTTATAAACTACAGACAGTATGTCATAGCAGTTTTTTGTGGGAGTCGGTGGTCTCTATGGTCCCAGGGAGAAAACAGCAAGAGGATTGAGAAAATAAAGACGAGAGGATAGTGGAGGTCAGGTGGAGTTACCTCTTGCCTGATGAGCAGGAGGACTGCCCAAAAACAGTAGAGCGTTTATTTATACCCTGGAGAGGTTGGTTAATTTCCGCCTCACTGCCCAGCAAACAGTTAGCAAGTTACAAGGGCTGGTTTACTCCGAGGGGCTCCCGTGTTCTCACGCTGGCTTCAGCCTGCACGTGTATTTCTTTTCCAGCTTCAGTGGCTCCCAACAGGTTTTCACCTTTAAAACTGTAAAAACCATAAGCCAAGCGTGGTGAGGCACGCCTACAATCCTTAGCCACTTGGGAGGCTGAGGCAGGAAGATTGCAAGTTTGAGGCTAGACTGAGCAACTTAGATCCTGTCCCAAATAATAGTTTGTGGTTTTTTGGCCTTGACCCTGACCCTCTGCTCCCAGACCTGACAGTCACCACCCGCCAGCCTCGTGTAGTGGAGAGCCTGTGATTAAATGGAAAACCAGGCCCCACTGGAAACACTGAAGCAGAGGTTACATAAGTACTTTTCCAGAACTTGAAACTCACGCGTCAGAGAAAGGTGTCTGATAAACATGCCAGGTCGATAGACTGTAGTAATACAGAACCTGGCCAGATAAAACTGATTAGGGAATTCCTGTATTATAAAGAAAATAGTGGTTAGTGTAGCAGAACCCTAAGCTATAAAGATTTTCTATATTTTGATAACACCTTTACATCGAGGACTAAGAAGTCTACACTCTGTTCCTTGGGCAGAGCCAGGAGATAAGCCGAGACTTCAGTGGCATTAAGGTAAGCAGATTTCACAAAGCAGTGCTTTTTACAAAGTTCATGATGCCTGCTTACGTTTATTCTGGAGATAGGAAGCAGTGTTTTCAAGGGTGAAGGTGATGTATTTTTTTAAAACCAGAGTTTTAGAAGAGCTCCGTGATAGACCCTACTATATGTGATGCACTGAGCTCAGTCCCCAAAGCCAGGGGTGAGAGGTCAGGGGACAGTAGGATAAGGAAATGAGGTGGAGGAGGAAAAGCGTGAAACCAGTGAAATCGTTTCGGCAGCACTGGTCCGGAGCCTGTCAGTAGTAACGGATGGATTTATCAAATACGCCAGCCTGACGGATTGAGAGTGTACCTGTGTAATGTGTTGAAAAGATTATGAGATGACATGAAGTTTGAAGAAGTAAATTCAGGGTTCAGAGCCAGACTCTACACAGAGGACTAAACTATTAGAAGCAGAATTGAAAGTTTGGATCTGAAAAGGAGTCGTGGCAAAATTGGCTTGATGATACACTTAGATGTGGCGGATAATGGATCATTACTAAGTTTCTAACACCAGTGTCCGGTCGGTGTTGGTGCAATGAACTGAAATGGAGAACGCTGGAGAAGTAGGTTGTGGATAAAGATGAATATGATAAGTTTAATTGTAAGGGAATTCTGAAGACAGTTCAAAGCACAGATTTATGATTATTTATTTATTTGTTTTGGTACTGAGAATTGAACTCAGGACCTTGTGCTTGCCAGGCAGGTGCTTGTGCTGCTGAGCTATATCCCCAGCCCAGATTTATGTTTGTTTTGTTTGTTTACTTTTGGTTTGTTTTTGTTTTTGAGACAGGATCTCACTCTGCAGTCAGACTGGCCTTGAACTCACTTTGCAGCCCAGGCTGGCCTCAAACCCTCAGCGATCCCCGAGTGCTGGGATTACAGGCGTGAGCCACCACACCCAGCCGAGATTTACGTTTATTAACTCTCACCAAAATAATTATTTTTTAAAATGCAACCAGTGTAAACAAAAAGCAATTTTTTATTTATGTGGTACAATGTGATACTTTTTTTATGTGTAAACCTTATGGGACTAAATGTGACTCCTGCGAATCACCACTTCTTTAAAATCAACATTTTTAGATTCCACATATATGTGACATCATGTACTATTTCAGTATTTGTCTTCCTGTGCCTTACTTCATTTATCATAGTGTCCTCCAGGTTGCTCCAAAACGGGAGATTTTTTTTTTTTTTTTTGGCTGAAGAGTGTGTTCCGTGGGGGAAAGGGGTGGCGGGAAGAGGAGAAGGGATTCTTGTAGGTACATACTACACAAGTGGTGGAACTACTGAATCACATGGTCGCTCTTTTTATACTTTTGTGAGAACTTTCCATACTCTTACCATAATAGAGGTGCTACTTTGAATTCCCACCAACCCTGTACCAATGATTCCTTTTCTCTACATCTTTGTCAGCATTTATCTTTTGCCTTTTTGGAAGAGGCCGTTCTAACAGACTTGATTCGATATCTCCTGTTTTAATTTCCACTTCCTTGATGGTTAGTGATGTTGAACCTTTTTTCACATACCAACTGGCCAATCTTTTTTTTTTTTTTTTTTTTTTTGTCTTTTTTGAGACAAGGTCTCCCTGTGCAGTTCAGGCTGGCCTTGAGCTCACTTTGTAGCTCAGGCTGGTCTTGAACTCAAAATGATCCTCCTGCCTCAGCCTCCTGAGTGCTGGAATTTCAGGTGTGCGCCT